TTAAAATCTAAATTTTAATTTTTACGAAACAGGAGCTAAATTTTGATGATTACGTGTCAAAATCAAATACAATATTTTAATAAAAAAGCGGGTCCAGGTTTAATTGCCTGGCTTGTTATTATTGATGACCATAGATTATATACGTGAGACTGTTCAATTTCTGATTGAATTGGTGAATCATGCTACATATACATCAGATTTGACTGTTTCTTTGATATCATGCGAGCTGACGGATTTTTATAAATTGATTTTAACAACACTTTTTTCAATCAATAGCCATAATTTATGCACATTAATTTTAACCACACACTTCATCAATTTCTTTCAAAATCTACTAAAAATCTGATTTTAATCCACAGCAAACAAAAACTTAGTCAATATAATGCCAATAATTCCTATAATGTTGCAAGTTTTAACGCTTGAATCCAAGTTCTTGCCTACAAAATTAGTCTCCCATGAAATGTGTCTTATTTACTATGGACATTAATTATAGGAATTTAATAATGCAGCGTTAAATAATAGATTTATTTAATGACATGTGAACGGGTGCACAGTGTATTACATAACATTATTTTTTGAAATACTAGTCAACGTTGAACTTGCGTTGCACATTATTATGAAATGTTTTATAAATGTTGTAAAAGTAATATATGAATATGCGTGAATGTTAATTATTTTAGAATTAATATCAGGGAATATATACGTGATAATGAATGTTAAATTATTTATTTAATTTCTAATTAAGTAAAACTGAATGTTAATTAGGATAGATGAACGTGAATAATGAAATACATTCTTGAATAGAGTAATGCTATTCTTTCTCACTGTGGATGAGAACACAGTTTACGTGGCGTTAATATGACATTAAATGATAGGTGAAATTAAATAAGTCATTTAATTTCACCTTTCATTTAACCTATCATTTATAGTGGTGTCAAACGAGTCGAGCGGTTCGCCCGCTCAGCTCGTACTGTTCACGCCCACGAGCCGCTCGGACTTGTCTTTTGACGAGCCCGAGTACGAGCCGAGCGGGCAGGTGGGCTAGACGAGTCGAACCCGCTCAGCTCGTAACTATTCACGAGCGGCTCGCCAAGCCGCTAGTGAAAAGAGCCCACGAGCCAGGCTCATGGGCTCGTGTATATAAATAAATAAATAAATAAATAAATGACAAAAAAAAGTGACCGGATCGGTCACTGATTCAATCAGCGACCGTTTGGTCACTTTTTAAATTGTTTTTCCTATTTTTCTACTTTTCTT